TGCCGCCCCGGCGCCCCCGCCCAGCCGCCTCCTCCCTTCCCGGCCGCCTCCCGCTTCATGCCCGGAACCATCTGGTCCTTCTCGCAAGCCCGGCGGCTGGGCCCGGGGCCGGAGACCACCCTGGTGCAGGGACCGGGGGTCTCCTGGGTCCACCCGGACGGGGTGGGCGTGCAGATCGACACCATCACCCCGGAGATCCGGGCCCTCTACAACGTGCTGGCCAAGGTGAAGAGGGAGCGGGACGAGTACAAGCGCAGGTGAGAAGGGGCGGCGGGAGCCAGGGGCCCCAGCTCCATCCCCTCGAGGGACCGAAACCGTCGCCGGGGAGGCTGCAGGGCTTTACCCGGTGGGCGCCGGTGCGGGAGAAGCAGTCGGGAGGGTTGAGGTCAAGGGGAGCAGCAGCCCTGGCCTAACTTCCCGGGAGTGTGGGCTCCAGGCAGCATGAGGTGGGGTTGTAAGGCAAAAACACGGACCCCTGAAAGCGTTCGTAGACGCCTGGGTCTCCTCGCTTGCCTCCTGGTGTTTGAACTCCCTTGGGATGCTCACTCAGCCTTTTCCTGTCTTGTCAACCTGGCATGAGGGACTAGAAATGCCTTTCCAAGTGGGGAAGAAATAACGTGACTCCAGGAGCTGGCGTTTCAAAGGGGAGGGGATCTGGAAACAGGAAGGAGGAGCAGCTGGAAAGTAGGTGAGGAAGGTGAGCAGGTTTGGGTTGGAAAAGGCTGCTGGGAGGAGGAGAAGGAGGAGGAGGGCTCTCTGGATACCTAGGAAGGTGCAGACAAGCCCCTTGGTGGAACAGCTGGCTCCGCCGGGCCCGTACCCTCCCCAAGTGCTCTCCCAGACGGTGCCTCAGCAGCAGCGAGTTGTGTGGGAGCACCCCACTCCTCTGGGGCTTTCCTCCCGACCCAAAATAGCTGTGGCTTGGCATGTGCCTCAGAGAAGGGCGAAGCAGAATGCAGAGCTAATCTCTTGGCCGGTTCTTCTTTCCTGTGCGGGGCGGCCGCTGCTCTCACATTGCCCCGGCAGCGCTTTTGTTTCAAGCCAGTTTCAGAGGTTGCTCCCAGATCCGCACGTAAGATGAGATCAGGCAGCGGGTGGGCTGGTGTCGCCAGGTCAGGGTGCAGGGCCGGGCAAGACCATCACTGGCGACTGACGCCACCTGAGCGACTGATTCTTTTTCAGAAGAAAAGTCGCTTTATGGTGCTTTAGAAGCCATTAGAAAGTAACTGATGACGTACCCAAAGGAGTGAAACGGTGTGCTCTACCCACGGGACCAGTGCTGCTGACCTGTGCTTCACAGCCCTGGGCTCTGGTGCCAAGATTAGGGATGGGGATCCAAGATGACACCTTATGTTTTTGGCTTTATAAGGCTTTGGCTGAGCAGGCTTGCCTGTCGGATGCTCCAAAGGCATCGAGCAAGGCACATGGAAAGGAAGAGTTGGCATCTCTTCTCTCCCACCGATCGCTGCGTATACCTAAGGCTTTTTATTATTAAGCCGGGGATCGGGCTGCTTCCCCAGGGGCAGGCAGCTCTCCTGCCCTTGAGTTTTCACATCAGATAGTGGGGAGCTGGAGACACCGTTTTGGCCCAGAGGGCTCGAGTTGCTTAAAGCGGTGCAGCTGGAGAGAGGGGACTGAGTTGAGTTTGTCAGTGCTGCTGAAACTTTGGGAGAAAGGAGAGCTTTTTTGGGATCATCCCTCTCTGGCAGGCGGGTTTTGGGGAAGACTGGGGGGTAGGGGTAGTGTGACGGACGAAGCAGGGACGATGGGGATGGGCAGGGGGGCACCACAAGCTGCCGCGGGCCAATGTTGTTGGCGGGATCTATTTTTGGACTGTGTTACCAGGGGCTGGGGGGAAGCAGACCCCACCCCTAGACCCTTTCCAGCACCGGGACCTTTCTGACAGTGCAGCCAGGTCCTGAACAAGGGAATGGGACCGGAGGATCCCATTTCTGCACCCTTCCCCATGCTAAAGGGTTGGCGCCGACATCCCCCAGGAGCAGATACCACCCCCCTGCCACAGCGGGCTCTGATCTGTCGTGGGGACAGTGTGGCCGGCATCATCCCTTTGCCACCTGCCTGAGGGCAGAGGGAAGAGACCGTGTTAACACGGGACTTCCCGGTCCTCTGCCCCATGGCTTGGGTGCTTGAGCTTGTGCTTTCTTCAGGGCAGGGTTGCCACCGTGCAGCCCACAGCACTCGGAGCGGTGCAGCAGGAGGGAGCTTCTCTCTGGGTATGCAGGGCCTGAAATTCAAGCCTGGGATCTAGGAGGGGGATGGGGGCAATAGGCAGGGATGAGAAGAGGTGCAGCGGCAGCAGCAGGAAAGAGGCTCGTGGGAGCCACGCTTGGGAAGGGCGGACTGAGGCTAGGTGGTCTGGAGAGGGGGAAAGGGTGCCTGTGAGTATCATACAGAGCCACCAAGCACTGGGAATCCAAGTATCTCATTGGGTTTCTGCTGCCCACTGCATTTGGATTCCCAAGTAGTTTTCGTCCTGGATGCTGCAAGCACGTGCTGGAGATACAGGGTGAGTAATATTATGGCACAGCATGTAAGGATGACAAAATGGTTTGGGCTGGAAGGGACCTTTAAAGATCGTCTAGTCCAGCCCCCCTGCCGTAGGCAGGAACATCTTTCACTGGATCAGGTTGCTCAAAGCCCCATCCAACCTTACCCTGAACGCTTCCAGGGATGGGGCATCCACCACTTCTCTGAGCAACCTGCTCCTGTGTCTCACCACTCTCATCATAAAAAATGTCTTCCTTATCTCCAATCTAAACCTACCCTCTTTCAGTTGAAAACTATTGCCCCTTGCCTGTCACTACAGGCCCTGGTAAAAAGTCTCTCTCCATCTCCCTTTATACATTGAAGGGCTGCAAGAAGGCCTTTTGTTGTTGTAATTGCCCTCCAAGGAGGTGAGCCAGGGTGTAGGGTATTAAGGTGAAGCTCAAACGTGGCAAGAGGGGGAAACGTGCAGCTCCGTGCCCCGAGCAGCCCGAAGGGTGCCCCGCAGCACCAGCACGTGCTAACTGTGCAGCATAGGGTAAGGCACCACAGGGCCTTTTGCAGTGAACAGGATTTTCAAAGATATGGGGGGTTGCTTACTTTGCTAAGTGAACTTCTCGAGGGGAAACGCCTGGTGGGGGATGCTGTAGGGACAGCACCGCATCCCGTCACGTCCCTGGCTTCGGGAGGGCTGGCCTGTAGGTGGCAAGGAGGTGGCTGGTTCTGTCTGCTGCCGGGACCCTCCTGCCCTCGCTCTCTGCCTTCTCCCTCCATTTCAGCCTTCGGTGGGTTGCCTCGCGGCGGTGCAGGAAGGGTCCATGTCTCCCCTTGGCGTGCGCCGGTGGCCATGGGGTTGTGTGGGGCAGCCTTGCTTCCAGCCGGCAGCGACCTGGCAGCGGCCACCGGCCACGCTGGGCTGCGGGTGCAGTGCCGCAGGCAGGTTATTATTAGGAGTGGTGCATTGCAGGAGGGAGCCGGGAAGAAGGAGCCAGGCGGGAGGCGAGCGGGAGAGGTTCATAACGGATGGGCGTGCGGATTTGTCGCTTGCGGGGCGAATCGCTGTTGCCTCCCGCCTTTAAATCAGTGTTTATCTAATCTGCGCTCATCTTCCACAGCATTGGTGTGAAATGAATTCTTCCAAGGATTTGCAGCTGTGGTTTACTTCCCCAGTAAGTCCGGGCTATGTAGCGACCCGGAGGGAGGCGGGGACCAAAAAAGACAGGAAGTGCCACGCCGAGAAAGATGCTGAAATTTTTTTCTTAGGGTGGAAAGCGTTTTTCTCCCCGGGGAGGGAGGCCTTGTTTGAACAGTTCCCATATAAGGGCAATTCTACCTTCTCCTACTTTCTACCTTCTCTCTACTTTCTCCTTCCCTCTCTCTTTGTCTCCCTCTTCCCCCAAAAGGATGGGAACTCCCTTTGACTCCCCTTCTGTAGCTGCGGTGTGGAGCCAACACCACCATGAGAACTGCACACTTTGTCCTTGTTTGAGTAAGAAGCAGTGTTGGCAGCCTTAAGAGCTTAGAAATTCATAAGCCAGGACTCTCCCATGTCATCAGATTGTCCTGATACCCTGAGATACCACGTGTGGGGGCTTTTCATACGCTTCCTGGTCTCATAGACCTTAGGATTCATTTTTCAGACTTGGTGTGAGTAAGCAAGAGGAGAGATTTTTCACGTCCTTATGCAGGGTCGCAGTGCTTGCTGTGTTGGTGCTTGCAAGCATTAAATAGAAACCCGATATCGCAGCACCAGGCAGGGTCCATCTCTGGTTGCTTTCCCAGAGAAATCCTGCTTTCTCGGAGAAATCTGGCTCTCCCAGAAGAGCCAGGAGCTGGGTAAGAATGCAGCAGCCCTGCCCTGTGCCGCACCGCAGCGCGTGCCAACCTGTCTGCTCTATGGTATAGTCATTTAGCAAAGAGCAGTACAGCCTGGTGGCCTCCCAACAGACCGTGGACTGGGCCAACACCGCAGCGTGGCCCAAGATGATGATCTCATGCAGCAAAATGTAATATTTGCTAGGCGATGTGTCTTTGTATAGCAAGGCTGGACACCTTGCGGCTCAGCCTTTTGCAAAGCTGCAGAGCCTAATACAGTACCTACTGGCCAACCTGGCATAAGTTGGGACAATCCATCCTGCTTCCTTGTAGGATGAAACGATCTTCTTTAATCCAACCTGTTAATGTAGCAGTACAGCTGAGGAGACTTCTGCTCCTTCCCGGGTAGCGTGGCCCAGCGCAGGGCAGCCCTCCACTTTGGTGCAGGCGGAAGAGCAGCCCTTCATGCTGGCGCACATCATGGCCACGCACGCTGTAACATGGTTTGGTATTAGGTTGGGTTTTGTGCTCCAGGACAGCCTGAACTGCGACACTGCAGGCACACAAATGTGGTCCACAAAGACGATGCAGACGGGGGCGATTCTACAATGCCTGCAAGCCTGTTATTGACTGTTGGAGCTGAACATAGTGTGACCCAAGGCCAAGGGGCTCAGGGGCGGATGGAGAAGCCAGTGGGCTGTGTCGGGCCATGGGCCAGTCCCAGCATGGCAGGGTGTGCAGTGCAGCTGCTACATGGAGCCTGCGGTTGGTGTCCCCAGCTCCCCCCCGTCGTGGGGCAGGCGGCTGTCGGCCAGCCCACAGTGGGGACAGGGGAGAGCATGGTGGGGCAGGGTTCTTGGCTGGTGGGCTGACAGGCGTTTGGCAGCTGCCGTTGTCTGGAAAGAAGCGGCGATGCATTCCTGGGCACGTTCTCCTTCCCACCCTGGTGCCGTCATCACCCCCTCTCGGATAGCTTTGGGGTGAGCAGCTGCCACTCCCTCCTCTCCGGCAGCCAGCGAGGCGAGGCTGGTGGGATCTGACCAGCGTGTTTGTCTCTCTAGATGGGAAGAGGAGTACACGGTGCGTGTCCAGCTTCAGGACCGGGTGACTGAGCTGCAGGAGGTGAGCATCGCTGTCATCCCCGCCCCCTTCCTCAGCACCCCAGCTGCCCCGTGCTGACGCTGATTTGCACATCTCCCTCTACCCGGGGCAGGAAGCCCAGGAGGCTGAAGCCTGTCAAGAGGAGCTGGCCATGAAGGTGGAGCAGCTCAAGGCAGAGCTTGTTGTCTTCAAGGGACTGATGAGCAATGTGAGTCCCTCGCCCCTCTCCAACCCAGCAGCAGTGTCGTACCCGAGCGGTGGGGCTTGCGTAGAAAAGCAGTTCCTTGGTGGGGCACATCCAGCACAGAGGTGGTCTGGCAGGGTTGGTCCAGGGTGCAGTGCTCAGAGTGGGGATGCAGATGCAGTCCTGCAGCACGGGGGGGGACGGACATGGGGGCTCTGATTGCCGTTTGCCTTGCCTCATCTTCCTCCCTTCTTCCCCCATCCTGCGGCATTGTGGGTTCAGAACATCACAGAGCTGGACACCAAGATCCAGGAGAAGGCCATGAAGGTGGACATGGACATCTGCCGGCGTATCGACATCACTGCCAAGCTGTGCGACGTGGCGCAGCAGCGGAACTGTGAGGACATGATCAAGATGTTTCAGGTGAGAAGCGCCTGCTACTGCCCCAGGCTCAGCTACTGGCTCTGGGGAAGAGAGTTCCCGAAGGAGGTAGAAGAGACAGCACCAGCCCCCTGCTAGGGGAGACGCTTGGTCACCCTCACCCCCACTCCTTGCGGTCCCTTGCTCTCTGTCTCTCTCAGGAGGACCAGGCGAAAGGGCACGGAGAGGAGGTGGAAAGCTCCAGATGTCGCTTTAGGCATCAAGAGTCCCCTCAACCTCTCGCTGACCTGTTGCGTTTGGGCCCGGGGACCCCGCAGTGGTAGGGGAGCAGCTGCAGGAGGGAGACGAGTTGCTCGAGTGTCTGTCTCTAACTCCATCTCTCTCCTTCCCCTTCCCCTCTCCGTCATCTTCTCTCTGTCTCTCTTCTCTGTCTCTGTCTCTTTTCTCTTTCTGGATGTCACTGCCTTTCTGTCTCGCTTTCTTTGTCCCTACAGAAGCAACTGGTTAGTTCCATTCAGTTGGGAAAGTGTACAAATTTTGAACTTTCTGTAAATAAGTTTGGACTGTAAATATTGACATATTTCACCTTTTTCAGGCTCTGTCTCTTTTTTCCTGTTTCTGTCGCTGTGTTTCCCTGTCTCTGGACTGGGGTGGTGGGCGATTTTGAGTTTTTCTGCAGTAAAACCACATTGTTTTTTCTCATCAGATTCATAGATTCCATCTTTAGTTGCTTAGTTTTAATTTTAGAAAATGCTAAACCCATGTTTTATCCATTGCACCATCTTTAACCTGATCATAATGAGCCCGTCTTCTCTCTTTCTCTCTCGCTTTTCTCCTTCCTTTCTTTCTTTCTTTCTCTCTTCCCCCGCCTTTCTGTCCCTCCACCATTCCTTTCCCCTCCATCTCCTCCCAACTACCTGCTCCCGACCTCGGACCCGGCTTCGTTTCTGTAGTCTCTGCACTTGTCTCCCGTTAAGGTCCCAGCCTCGGTGGGGCGGAAGCGGGAGCGCAAGCAGGTCAGCGATGAAGACACCTCGCTGTCAGAGAGCGATGCCTCCCGAAAACCTGAAGAGGAAGAGGAGGACGAGACCACGGCCATGAGTATCAATGAGGAAATGCAGAGGATGCTGAACCAGCTGTGAGTGCAGCTGCTCCGCACCTCTGCCCACCGGCACTGAGCGAGGCTGTGGCACCAGGCTCCCCTTGGGTGCCCGGGATGGGGAGGGCAAGGGTGGGCTCTGGCTCCCCTTCCCAGGGGAGGGTGAGATGGGAGGTGCTGCCGCAGGGTACCTACACCCTGTGCTCTGCAGCGCGGTGGGACTGACCCCCCTGGCAGACCTGAGCCCACCTGTGCTGTGGGTGGGAGCTGGTCCAGCTCCCTTCCTCTTGACCCCTTTCTGCCTTTTGGGAAGTCCCTGCCTGAATTTGCTGGGGCTCCTGACCATAAAGCCAACCCCTTCCCCATCAACTGTTGGGCTTGGGCATGCTTGAGCTCACCCTGGCGAGACCTTCAAGAGCTGCAGCCCTGCCTGTGAGCAGGGGCAAGGCTTTCGGCACCAAAGTGGCCCCCTGCCTGCTGGGGTTTTCCTGCTGGGTGCTGACATGCTCTTCCCTTGCCCGCAGGAGGGAATATGACTTTGAGGATGACTGCGACAGCCTCACGTGGGAGGAGACAGAAGAAACACTGCTCCTCTGGGAGGATTTCTCCGGATACGCCATTGCAGCCGCAGAGGTGCAGGGGGAGGTAACGGTGGTGTCAGGTTCCCCCCCGAGGATCCAGCCCTGGGTTGGGATACTCGGTCCTGCCTGAGGCTGGGAACATGGTCCCTCAAAGACCAGACTTTAGCCCCTCCATCCCTTGGAGGCCTTTACAGATGCCTCCCCTTTATGCCCCATCTTCTCCATGTTGAATACGTTAATGCATCCTGGTGAAGGTCTCCTTACAAGACAGACTGGGGACCTGTAGCCTGAAAGATGTGCTGAGGGCATGGTCCACACACGTAGGGAGAGCCACAGCCCCCCCAGAAGAGAAGACCTCTTCTGGCTGGGCTGGTCTCTGGTTGTCCCTTGCTTGGGCTCTCCAGCCCACCTGCTCTTTGTGCAGCAGCACTGCTCAAACAGAGGCCTCACTATCTGGCCAAAGTCCTCCCCATCCCTCATCTTCGGCCCTCAGCAGTCCCCTGGGGATGTGTCATGCTTGAGAACGGTCTGTGCTCTCCAAAGCTTCTGTGCATTGCTGGGCTTGTTCTGAGCTGATGGGCTGACTACCCAGTGTGGCAAATCCTGGTTTTCTCTACCTCGTGTTGGCAGGACTGACTCGTGCCTTATTTATGCTACACCACTTATGTTTCTTCCTCTTTTCCCAGTGCTGCCAGTTCTTTCTCTGATTTCTCTCTCTCCTGCCTTTGGTTCCTCATGTTGGACACCTCCCTGCCTCTAAACATGCTGTCTGCTCTCCCCAACAGCAGGACGACAGCCTGGAGAAGGTGATCAAAGACACGGAGTCACTGTTCAAGAGCCGTGAGAAGGAGTACCAGGAAACCATCGACCAAATAGAGGTGGGAGGAGGAGGAAGGTGGGGAGGACATGGCGTAGAAGGGGGTGAAACAGGGGAGTGGGTCCTGGGGTGAGGGAGACACTGTTCTGGAGCAGGTAATTGGGAACAGGGGGCAGCAGCCTTGGGTTGCTCAGGGGCACCCTTGGCCGTGCCCCGTGCCTTGTGCCACACCGTGCCCTGGGCTCATCTCTGCACCATTTTCCTTGTGAAGCTGGAGCTGGCCACAGCCAAGAATGACATGAACCGGCACCTGCACGAGTACATGGAAATGTGCAGCATGAAGCGAGGCTTGGACGTGCAGATGGAGACTTGCCGGCGGCTCATCACCCAGTCTGGGGACAGGTGAGCCTCAGCGGGAGGGCCAGGCTACCCATGCTCTGGGCAAGGACTGGAGCCAGGGTGGTGGTGAGTGGGAGCTGAAGCAGGGGGTAGCACTCCTGCCCTGTCCTGGCACAGTGTGGAGAGAGGCTGGTGGACTCCTGGTGACCAACCTCCACGCAGGTCATGGTGCCACCTCTGCAGAAGGTGGGCTGTGCACAGGAGTCAGTTCTGGCGGGTGAAGCCGGACACCCCTGATGGAGCCGCTGTTGTGCAGGGACGTTGCATAGGTCCTCACAGGCATGCGGAGCCAGGGTGGCTCCAGGCTGGGTGGTGGGCTTTCATGTGCTCTGGGCAGGCTCCTCTGGCATCTCCCCCAGCCCTGCTTCATGCTCTGGACCTCTTGGCTGGTGTCCTGTGGGGCACCCTTCCCAGCACCCAGGGATTCCCACAGACCCATGCATGCTCCAGGGGAGCAAGAGGGGCACTTCAGCTTCTCTCCTCCTTGCTCTGGTGCCCCCTGCCCACACCAAACCAGGTCCTTTCCTTCCCCCTGGGTGGTGCTGTGACCGCAGCCCTTTACTCTTCTCCGCAGGAAGTCTCCTGCCTTCACCCCGGCCTCCAACAGCGAGTCGGCCCCGAATGAGGAGAGCGAGGAGTCCGACCGTGACCCCCCCAGTGATGCTTCCATCAGATAATGAGGGGAGGCCCCGCTCCCTCGGACCCCCTTCCTGGCACGGGGGTGCTTGAGCCGCGCCTGGGAGAGACTGTCAGGGACATGGAGCCGCTGGTAAACGTCTGTCGCCCGGGCTTGCTCCTGTTTTGGGGTGCTTGGCAGCTCCAGCACCCCCCCGCCACTGGATATCTTGCAAATGGGAATAGCTAGATAGAGCTGAGGGCCCTTGCCCAGGCCGCTCAGCCTCCAGCCCCTTCTCTATTCCCTTCCCCTGCTTTGGTTAAACCGCGGTTTGGGCAGGGAGGCTCCAAACCTGCCATGACGGCGTTCTCCAGGACCTGTCCCCAGGGGCCCCCAGACCCACCTCCTCCAGCCTCCGTCCTGGTACACTTGACCTGCCCCTTGCCCTCCCTGCACCACATGGAGCCAAACGAGAGCCGTACCTCCTTGCAAACTGGACCTGACACTGGTGCCAACTGGACCGAGCCCAGGGCTCTCTCTGTCCTTGCTGCTGGCTGGGCGCCTGGCTGGTCCCCACACTGCGCCGGGCACCCCGAGCCCCCCCGCCTCCTCCAGGGCAGGGGCCGAGTCCTGCTCACTGGGCACTTTGCTTTGCCGCACATCGATGGTGCGCTCGCGTCTGTGTTACGGGGGTGAGGGGTCATTAAATGGGACAGTTTCCTTTTCTACAGCTTTGCCAGGTGTGGGCTCTCCCTGCGCTGCTGTGGGCGCCACATGGCTTGAGGTGGGGGGGGCTCCTCCACCAGACCCCCCAGCCCACATCAGTGGGGGCCTCCTGTGGCACACTTCTGTCCCTTGGGTGTGCCAGATGGGACTGGCAGATGGCACAGTGGCAAGATCCCTGTTCTGGGGATCTCGATGGGTCATGTGTCGCACTGGTGCTGTGTGAGCAGTCTTGTTCTTAACCTGGAGCATCACCAATGCTGAGGCTGAGGGATTGGAAAAGAAGCTGAATATGGTTTGCAACTTGTGGACCTTCCTCTCCCAGCACCCAGTCTCCTTAGCCACACCAGAGCATCTCAGAGCATCTTCTCACCTGCCCTCAGTCCTGCATCCAACCTTGGCATAGCCACAGTGGGGGGGTTCCCCTGTCCCACCATCTCCTGTAGCATTGCCTGGCCGGCCATTGCACGTGCTCCCCCAGTGATGGGAGGCTGGGGCCCAGCAGGGTGGAAGGAGGGGGGTGAGCAGCCTTCTGAGAGGCAGCGTTTTGCAGGGCTGCCTGCTGAGCAATGGCACCAGGCTGCACAGCCAAGGCAGGCGAAGCGCAAAAGGTCTTGAAGGGAAGAGAAAGTAGCGGGCAGTAGAGTTTTTGGATCACCTCTAAGATTAGGCAAGGTAGATAGAGCAGAGGCTGAGGGATGCAGCAGTTTATCTCCACAGGTTTGGCTGGGGTAGCTTACACTGCTGCACACTTGAGCTGCGAGCACCGGCCCATCTGTGCACTGCGGTGCAGAGGGTTGGCGCTTGGGCAGGGTGAGGTCCTCTGGCTGTGCCTGCAAGACACATTATGGCATGTGTTGGTGTTTCAGCGTGGGCTCAGCTGGCTGGTTAGAGCCGGCGGGGAGACGAGGGCCTGCAAATGGCCGGCGACTTTAGCAGCAGAGAAAACTGCTGCTGGCACCGGGAAATGGCAGTGCCTCAGCCGATGGCCTGCTGT